ATTTTCCACCGAGCATCTTGGCAACCGGCTCTACTAGTTCTGTTTCTAACATATCGTAGATCGATACCTTGAGACCCACACCTTCACCGGTGTGCGGTGGCTTGCAACGGCTGCCCCTACAGCGAAACAACGTATGAGAAATAGTTCTCCGCGGTATTTTCAACGTGTCGAGAATATCTCGCCGAGAGCGAAACCTTGCGCTGAACGGTCAAACACAGCTGGATCTCGTTTCGACTGCTTAGCGAGAATTCGAGAATACTCTTTATCTCGTGGCACAATTTGCATTTTCTAGCCTAGATGCGATCCTACGTATACGTACGATGGTTGTGTCTGGATTTTATAAAAAAGAAAAGATTAAAATTTACCGTTCGTTGAATTTGCCAGTTTTACCGGAAACAGCTTCGGTACGAAATTTCGTTCGGGAAGAGGCGAAGAAAGAGTGGTCTGTCTCGATTCTACAATTGTCTCGCTCTACCAGCCAGAGGGTTGATTATTTTCGAATAACTCGTGCTTCACTTCTCGTCCGCTCACTTAGTTCTATCTTTTTCGCAATTTGTTTCATCGTCAACTTGCCCCACGGCGTCTTTTCTCTGCCGTTCGTGGTCCCGCGAACGTGAAACTGGCATCCAGCGAGCGCGACTCGAGGCGGAGGCGAAAAGATCTAATTGTAAATAAACCAGTTTAGAAAGAGAGGAAGAAAGGAAGGAAAAGGTCGAAGAGGAAAGCGTGAAAGAGTGGTAAATGAGAGGATACGAATGAGAGACCGAGAGAATGAGAAGGAGAAAATGAAGGAGTAGTGGAGAGAGAGAGAGAGCGAAGAGGAGAGAAAGTACGCGTGTATGAACGTATATTAATAAGTTATATACCACACAAAACCGTATTTCGTGCGTCACAATTGGAGAATTGCTCGCGCTGACTGCCGAGAAAAGGACGTATTTAAACGGGACGTAGGCGTGTCCTCGCACTCGTGTCGTTTAGCTAAAAGAGGAAAAAAAAAAGAGGATTTAGAAGAAGAAAAAAAATACGAAGAAGAAAGAACGAAAGAGGGAAAGGTGGAAAGAGAGAGGTGGACAAAAGAAAAGAGAAAAAAATAAGAAGAAGTAATTAAAAAACAGAGGCTCTCCTAGTTACTTGCTCATTGAAATAATATTCTAAATAACGTTCGTAACGGAACAAAAGTCTAGATACGCATCAATATAATGAGGAATAATTTTACGTACAAATAAGTAAGGTTCACGCGCGCGCGGCTACAGTCATGCGCGCGCGCGCACACGCGCGCCATTTCCTTTCGTTTAGCGCCACGCGAGCCCACCCTTTACACGGTGATCCATATCGATCTGGAATCTCCGCCAATTGTTCCGTGAAATCGTAGAACAAATTAAAAAGGTTGTAATATTTTATCGGTATTTTCGAGTAATAGATATTGTTAAAGAAAACAGAAAAAAAAAAAAGAAATGAAATGATGAAAAGAAGAAGATACGATCCTTCCCTCCCTATATTGATATACATATACATATAAGTTTATGCTTCCTAGTGATAGAGTAAGAATTTATTAGTACAGTGGAACTTCAAGTTAATGGAAAGTGTAGACTGTAAAAAGAGAAAGAAAAGAGCCGAACGTCGATGCTTCTTAACTACAGAGAGAAAGAGAGAGAGAGAGAGAGAGAGAAAGAGGGAGGGAGGGAGAGAGAGAGGGAGAGGGAGAAAAAAAAGGAAAAAAAAACAAATAATAACGTTTCTACATTCCGCACTGAAAACATAATCCATAATATTTCCAACAATCACGCACGGTATATTTTTGATTCTGGTAATAATAAGTGCTCGGAGAAGGAAAACTTGGTTAATTGAGGTCCCACTGTACTTACGACACAATTTATTTCTCGAAATTGCATAATTGTTTGTAACTCCATTGAAAAAGAAGAAAAAAAAAAAAAAGTGGACAAAAAAGTAGCTTTCATTAAAGAAATATACACAAAAATTGTTCACGAGGTTTTTCTGCAAATTGCTTTTGTGTACAAGATATACCAATGAGATATTTGAAATTGGCGCGGTGGCGAGCGCGTGCCTGTTCGTTGCTGTGCGCTCACGAAGGATCACGATTTCTATATATTAAGGTCGATCGTTGTGAGCCGTACAATTTACAGTGAGCATGTATGGCCTGTGAACAATTACAAGCTTGTAACCGAGAAACAAAAAGAGAAAAAATACATGGCAGGAGGAAAAGAATACGAGGATGCACCCGAAACCACCTGAAGCACAACCATCGTTAAATGGCGGCGAATATGATATACATTGTTACATAAACGAGTATAACGCAAGAGAAAATCGTATCGTTGCATGATCGATACACCTAAATGAAACTATTACTACGTGATACGACATTATTATGTAAAAGTTTTTATTGCGTGAGTAAAATTATGTTATGGATGAAAATGTGTACCTTGTAAATAATAAATCTCGTCCTTTTCTTCGTGCATCGAACACACTACCGACCAAACAATATCCTTTTACGCGCGCTTAAATCCGAGAATTTCACACCAATCAGCATTCTTACATTCCACATGAGTCACTCGCGTTCCACCCACGAAATGTTCTTAACATTCGTATTCTAATCATTCGGTTAATGAACAGAACACATCCTTTTATCAACATCTAACCACTCGACTAAATATAAAACGAACTAAATCGCAAACACGGTTTGAACTAGTCACTTACAAAATGGCGTCGAAACGTTCGTTATTTGTGATCACGTGACAGAAATTTCTGCCGTACCCGATGAAGATATGGAAACATATGTCGCAGGTAAGTATTCATACCAACAGATGGCGACACTATTTGCAGTAACATAATGCGTTCCATCGTAAAGTCGACTTATTGAACATTTCGTTTTATTTTATGCGTCGTATTTAACCTCTAAGTCGATGCATTTTTTAATTATCGAATAGTAACTCAAACGTGTGCAACAATGTTTAACGTTTTAATATTTCTGACTTTACCAGGAGACGTTTCTCTTGCAATCAATACCTCCATGAAATGTGTTTAAAGAGTATGCTCGTATAAAATTTTAATTATCGAAACAAGTTAACTTGCATTGTATACAAAATAAAATGTATCTATGACGTAAAAACAACCATGCGCAAACTAAACAAATTTATACACCTACTACACATCTATGCATCTTGCTTAAACCAGAAAGAAATTGTACCGAATATAGGTTTAAAAATGATTGAAAACGAGTCAATTCTCGAATGTTTGAACAACATTTTTCGTTGAAGCGCGTTTTTCAGTGCTAAAATTTTCAGTGCTATAATAGACAATACCGTTTTAAGTCAGAAAATAAAGTGTTAAAGCCCACCTAACCTTCTTTTGCTCCTTATTTTCTACACCCTTCGCTATGCAAAAAAAAAAAAAAAGCAGTGCACTGTAATTACATTAATAGATTCACCTATTTATTTGCTAATACTTGTACAGAGGTAAAAACATGCTAGATTCTCACTTCCATTTTTCTTATTTTACTTTTGCAAAGTAAGACCAAGGTTAAGGACATTCCCTCGAACATTCTCGTATTTTATATTCGTCTATGTACAATTATTTATTAACGATATCGATCATGTAGGTATAATATTTAACAGGATAACACATTATGTCATTTTACTATAGTTTAATATTTCTCGTTGTATTTATCATTTCCCGCCTAATCTCGCTCACCTAAGAATTTTCTAGTATTCCTATATTTACCTCTCGTTATATCTAACGTGACACAATCTTTACTCTGCACATTTTTTGAAAGTATGAAACTTTACTAATTACAGGAGATAAGTTCTGTCCGAGTTATTCTTACAAAGCTAGTGTAGAAATAAGAGTCGAGAATAAGGTTACACGACGTACCATTTCCAATACGGCTGTGCGAGCACAGTATCATTGATCGTACCTGACCGCCCCATACATATTTTCTTGTATTATATAAAAACAAATAATTATTTTAAGAAAATATGTTAAGAAATCGTGTACAGTGGTCTGAATATTCATTTGCAGTCGTTTTAAAGGATGCAATAGTATCGTCACCTTTGTTCTCGAACAAAGTGACTGACGAACAGTTTCGAAAGTTCTAGAATCAATCTTACTTGAGAAACATCGTAAAATTTAAAAATATTAATAATTGACTTTTCTAAAAACGACGAATATCAACTTACTTTTCCATTCTCGTTGTATAAAGTAATTGCGAATAGAATGTAGACTGTAATATTCTGAATTAAAAATTTGCAGACGTGTTATTTAGAACAAAAACATGAAATAACCACTGTTTCTTTTTTTTTAAACAAAGAACGTAATATTCAACAAAAATATAAAAGCATGACACATAAAACATAATAAATATATTTTTATGACACAGGTGTAGAAAGAGCAACGCTGAATTTCAATGTCGTGGGGTATCTTTTTATATTAAGAAATCGAGAATATTTCTATAAATGACAAAGCGGCATTTTAGCATGTGTTTAATGCAAAAGTGCAATTTAGAATTGCAAAGGGTATCCTATAAAATTTGATTAAAAAATGACTCGAAATGCGTAAAAAATGATACACACGCAGCATCCAACAGTATTACATACTCGTGTAATGTGTGTACATATATCGCGTCATTGTCCAGTTTTTAGTATTTGCCGCATAAGCTTCTCTCCATTCTCAGCTCCGAGGTACATATCGTGATGTTTCTAGACATGTATATACAGCCATATCGTCGTTTCCTGTTACTACGTAAATCCATTTCTGCAACTGCAACCTTTACTATATTTTTTTACGTCTTATTGTTAATTTCACGTAATACATATTTCTTAAATTCGTTTTATAAATTTTCAAGGCTTTTTCTTTGAAATACTATGCTAAGAAGTGTCAATAAATATTGATTATAACACTATACTTGATAGAATGTTCTAGAAATCGGGCGGGCTTCCGGCAAGCACCTTCTAGAATTTTCAAAGCTCGATAAAAGCGGCCGCTGCACGCCAGTATTGAATACTCTGAAAAGTGACGGCGGGAGAGACTGATCGCTGAGAGCGAACGCGAAGCTACATTTCCTCTACGAATATACGCGCGACATATTCTCTACGTTAGTGCAAAGGAAGTTATTTCGTTGGACTTTTGTGCAAAAGAATTTAATTCTGATTTGATTGCAACGAGATGCCGGAGGACGTCACCATGGTGCAAACTGACGAGGTTGAAACCTTCGCCTTCCAGGCAGAAATTGCTCAATTGATGAGCTTGATCATCAATACCTTTTATTCTAACAAAGAAATCTTCATCCGAGAATTAGTTTCAAACTCATCTGATGTAAGTAATTTTTACTTTTCTATTTAGTTACATCATTGAAATTCATTGAAAGTGTTAAATAATTTTGCGGCATTTTGTAGAAAAAATTCAAGTGACGTTTTATTGCGTCTGTTATAGGCATTGGACAAAATCCGCTATGAATCTCTCACAGAGCCATCCAAGTTGGATTCATGCAAGGAGCTGTTCATTAAAATCATTCCCAATAAAAATGACCGTACCTTGACTATCCTCGATTCGTAAGAAAATCAGTCATTGAGTTTTAAAATCAGGGTTTTATCTTAATCAGTTATTTTATGTAAGTGCTATAAGTTAAAAATAGAGATGAATAACTAACTTTTCTTCATTACAGTGGTATTGGTATGACCAAGGCTGATCTTGTGAACAATTTGGGTACCATTGCCAAGTCTGGCACAAAAGCATTCATGGAAGCTCTTCAGGCTGGTGCAGACATTTCCATGATCGGTCAATTTGGTGTGGGTTTCTACTCTGCCTACCTGGTTGCAGATAAGGTCACTGTTGTCTCTAAGCACAATGATGATGAACAATATCTGTGGGAGTCTTCTGCTGGTGGTTCCTTCACAGTTCGTCCTGACCATGGAGAACCAATTGGAAGAGGAACAAAGATTGTCTTGTACATCAAGGATGATCAAACTGAATACTTGCAAGAGTCTAAGATCAAGGAGATTGTCAAGAAACACTCTCAATTCATTGGCTACCCAATTAAACTCATTGTTGAAAAGGAAAGGGACAAAGAATTGAGTGAAGATGAAGAGGAAGAACCATCAAAGGAAGAAGAAGCAGAAGATAAACCCAAGATTGAAGATGTTGGAGAAGAAGATGAAGATAAACCAAAAGATGAAAAGAAGAAAAAGAAGAAGACTATTAAGGAAAAGTACTCTGAAGAAGAAGAGTTAAACAAAACAAAACCAATTTGGACAAGAAATCCAAATGACATTACTCAAGAAGAGTATGGTGAATTTTACAAAAGCTTAACCAATGATTGGGAAGATCATTTGGCTGTCAAACACTTCTCAGTGGAAGGTCAACTGGAATTCCGTGCGTTACTTTTCATTCCTCGACGTGCACCTTTCGATCTCTTTGAAAATAAGAAGAAGAAGAATAATATCAAATTGTATGTACGTAGGGTCTTCATTATGGATAACTGTGAAGAGCTTATCCCAGACTACCTTAACTTCATCAAGGGTGTTGTAGATAGTGAAGATCTTCCATTGAACATTTCCCGTGAAATGTTACAACAGAATAAGATCCTTAAAGTCATCAGGAAGAACCTTGTCAAGAAATGTCTGGAACTCTTTGAAGAGTTGGCAGAAGATAAAGAAAATTATAAGAAATGCTATGAACAATTTAGTAAGAACATTAAATTGGGTATCCATGAAGACAGTCAAAATAGAAAGAAACTCTCAGATTTACTTAGGTACTACACATCTGTATCTGGAGATGAAGTGTGTTCATTGAAGGATTATGTTGGAAGAATGAAGGAAAATCAGAAACACATCTACTACATCACTGGTGAAAGCAGAGAGCAAGTAGCCAATAGTTCGTTCGTAGAAAGGGTTAAGAAGCGTGGTTTCGAAGTAGTATACATGACAGAACCTATTGATGAATATGTTGTACAACAACTGAAAGAACATGATGGCAAACAGTTGGTATCTGTAACAAAGGAAGGTTTGGAACTCCCTGAAGATGAGGAAGAAAAGAAGAAGCGCGAAGAGGACAAAGCCAAATTCGAGAATCTCTGCAAAGTCATGAAAGACATTTTGGACAAGAAAGTAGAAAAGGTTGTAGTATCCAACAGGTTAGTCAACTCTCCTTGCTGTATTGTCACATCACAATATGGATGGACCGCAAACATGGAGAGGATCATGAAAGCGCAAGCCCTCCGAGACTCGTCTACTGTGGGATACATGGCTGCCAAGAAACATTTAGAAATCAACCCAGATCATCCAATTATGGAGAATTTGAGGCAAAAGGTGGAAGCAGATAAACATGATAAGTCTGTGAAAGATTTGGTCATGCTTCTCTTTGAAACAGCATTGTTATCTTCCGGTTTTGCTCTTGAAGACCCGCAAGTACATGCATCTAGAATATACAGAATGATCAAGCTTGGTCTTGGTTTTGATGATGATGAGACGCCAAATGTAGAAGATGAAAAGATGGACACAGAAGTTCCTACACTAGAAGAAGTTGACTCGGAAGTAGCATCCAGGATGGAGGAAGTAGATTAAGGCTTCTATCGTTTAAAACTATTTAACTAAATCCAAAGACTTTTAGAATGTAGAAAGACTGTTACAGATTACTTCTACTTAAGTATTGAACTTCTTTTTCGTTTTGTCTTTCTATGTGACAGAGTGGAGTGTCATGCTTACTTTAGTTCTGCGTAGTATTAGCTAATATCGCCGTATTTATTTGATAAATATGAGACAATGCATAAAAATTGTTCCGTGTATTTCACGAATATTGCTCTTTAAATTGAGCCTGCCACTTGATTCTGTCTCTAAATTTTTTTTTATAATGTCATTTTCATGCGACTGCATTATCATTTAAATTTTTTTGTACTCTTTCATCAGTTCGATTTCATTTTGCACTTTCACCATTCCATTTTGAAATCGTCATGTAGTCGGAGTATATTGAAAACGTTGTAAACAGTTTTGTGCGTAATAAAACAACCTTACATATTTAAATAACAAGTATATTCCCTTAATCCCTCTTTATTTTATTGTAATTATTAGGAGTTTTTATATAATAAAATGTGAAATTTGTTAGGTAATCTTATCAAAATGAAGAAGTTTATTGATTTATTAAATTCACCTAGCTTCATAAATGTTGTACTTATTGCAATATTTGTTTTTAATAGAACTAAAATTACAATCATTACTATTGAAAATTTTAATTTTATTCGTCCTTAGAAGATGAATACATACATATATTTTGAAATATAGACGTCATGACACGTCGGCGATAGTTATCGATCATGTAAGTACATTCATCGCATATAGTGAGTGGATTCATGGGCCATTTATAAGTACGCAGGACAATTTTTTTAATGAAGTAAATTTGCATTCAATACGAAAGATTAATTCAAACATTGCTAAATAAAAAAAATGTCATTTAAACGTGAATCAAATAGTGGAAGAATCTTAGTGGTAGGTATCGCAATTGTTTCTACAAATAAGGGTAATTGAATATATTTTCTAATTATAAATTTTATGAAACTTTTTAATGTTGATACTTTTTTCTACCGATCGAACTATCGGTGCAAGTTGACCGATAGAGCGCGACACTGCAGATTGTTGAAGTGTTGCGTGTTGCCACATCACCACCAAATCAAACGTACTTGGACGATGTTTCTGTGTAGATTGCGCTCGTGCCGACTCTTCCACAATACGTGGAAAGCGTGAGTTTCTCTATTCCGATTCAACATGTCAAATTTTTCTTGAATTTCTGACGAATATTCACGAGAAAAGCAAGAACCAGCGCGTAGATAATCTTCCATTCATCGAAGAGCTTTCTCGGCACAGTACAGACTGAGAAATTATAGATTTTTTCTTGGTGCTTAACGTGGTAAACGAACGACACGATGAGCGCACCCCAGGGGCAAGGGAAACAACGACACGGTGTAGTAAAACAGGTAAGATAATGAAATTTTACGGAAATTTGTTTCTTAAGGAATTTCTTTAGTAGAAAATAACTACTATTTATGTGATTACTGTCATATATAACCTTATATTTTGACATGTGCAGTCGCGTTCGACACAGTTGGAAAGAATAATCAGTACCGAAAACATATGGTCCTTGCATTGAATTAATTCCGTTTTGTACCCTATTTCTTTTAATAACAAGGTATTGGTTGCCATTTTGATGACACGAATGTTATTGAAATATTACAATTAATAAACCAATAACTTTTACTCATTTAGCATGCTCTTTGTTTTATATCATTGTACTCTTCAAGGTCTTAAGCAAAGTTTAATTTTATCCATCTAGTCTTCTATGAAAAATATAATATTATATTATGGTATGCTGTAATTGTACAGAGTATTACATTGATAATTAAGAATAGGTTTGTCTACATATTTTCTTAACGTAGACTTTTATATTTTAAGGTTACTTCAGGAGATACCATTATTATTCGTGGCCAACCTATGGGTGGCCCTCCTCCAGAAGTTACCATTATTCTTTGTAACATCACTGCTCCAAAATTAGAAAGATGGAAAGGAAATGATAGGTACATATAATTGTTTATTATTTTTCTTGACATTAATTCATTACTTCATTGTAAACATACTATACATTTTTTTCAGTATGGATGAAAGTAAAGATGAACCATATGCTTGGGAAGCTAGAGAATTTTTACGTAAAAAACTTATTGGTCAAGATGTAACTTTTGTTACAGAAAAATCAATGACAACCAGAACTTATGGTACTGTGTGGCTAGGAACAGGTACATATTTTTATTTAAATTTGCTTATGCATCATATTTTATGTAAAATTTATTTATTTATTTTACTTATTGACCGCCGCATTTCATGGTATCACCGTATAGTTTACTTCATTCTTTTGTGTATTACATATATACATTATTTAAATACTTCATTTCTAATGATGTATAAAATAAAATTTTTGGTTACTATCATTAAATGTCTCAATAATTGACACGCGATTGCATGTGAAAACTATGCGCCGGTCCGCGTTGGCCGTCGCAACGGTCAAGGCGTTAAGAACTGGTTTATAAAACTTTTTCGTTATTATAGATAGAAATGGAGAAAATGTAATTGAAACATTGGTGTCTGAGGGTTTGGTAACTGTAAAAAAAGACACTAGAAATCCAAGTTCTGAACAAAATCGATTAATTGAACTAGAAAATGCAGCTAAGAACGCTAAGAAAGGAAAATGGTCAGAATCACCAAGTTCTGAACACATACGTGATGTAAAAGGAACTGTGGATGATCCTCGTAAATTGGTTGAAAAATTCGGAAAGAAGCCAATAAAAGCTATCATTGAATACGTGTTTGATGGATCTACAGTGAAAGCACTTTTATTACCTGATTTTTATAATATAGTATTAATGATATCGGGTGTTCGATGCCCTGGATGGCCAAATGGACGGCGTGAGAATCCAGTAGGCGATCCTTATGCAGATGAAGCAAGATATTTTGTAGAATCCCGCCTTTTACATAGAGATGTTGAAGTAGTACTTGAATCTGTTAATAATAATAATTTTATTGGCAGCATTCTTCATCCAAGGGGTTAGTAGTTTTGAAGAAATTAACGGAGTTAAATCTTTTACAAATAATTAAATAAGTAACTAAACATTTTGTTCTGTTTAATAGGAAATATTGCAGAAATTTTGTTGAGTGAAGGTTTTGCTAAATGCCAAGATTGGTCAATTAATAATAGCAGGGCTGGTGCAGAGAAACTTTATCTTGCAGAGAAAGCTGCAAAAGAGGCACGTTTACGTTTATGGAAAGATTACAAACCATCAGGTCCACAAATAGAATTTACTGGTACTGTTGTTGAGATTGTCAATGCAGATGCACTTATCATTAGGACACAAAATGGAGAGAACAAGAAAGTCTTTTTGAGTAGTATTCGACCACCGTCCAGAGAAAAGAAACTTAACGACGAACCTAATAATGCAAGCAGAAAAGATTTTAAACCTCTTTATGATATTCCATGGATGTTAGAAGCCCGTGAATTCTTGCGCGAAAAATTCATTAGGAAGAATGTCAAAGTTGTAGTTGACTACACTCAACCCGCAAGAGACAATTTTCAAGAAAAATTATGCTGCACTGTTACTTGCGGTAAAACGTACGTTATGTTTTAAAAAATTTCAAATTATTTTCATTAATAGTTCTATATATCATTAATATTTGTTTAGGAACATTGCGGAAGCTTTGGTTGCACGAGGTTTAGCAAGAGTAATCAAATATAGGCAAAATGACGATCAACGTTCAGCTCATTACAACTTGTTACAAGTTGCAGAAAGTAAAGCAGAAAAATCTCAACACGGTTTGCATTCAAAGAAAGACATCCCTGTACACAGATTAGTAGATCTTTCTAATGATCCTTCAAAGGTAAAGGCATTTTTAACGTCCCTTAAACGAGCACAGGGCATTAAAGCTGTAGTTGAATTCGTTACTAGTGGTTCGCGTCTAAAATTGTTTTTGCCAAAAGAGGACCAAGTTATTACATTTGTATTGGCTGGTATAAGAACTCCGCGATGTCAAAGATCATTGCCAGGTGGTGGTATCGTTAAAGCAGATGAATATGGTGAAAAAGCGTTAGCCTTTACTAGGGAGCATTGCTTCCAAAGGGATGTGGAAATAAAAATTGAAAGTACAGAGACGAAAGGTAGTGGATTTATTGGATGGTTAATAGTAAATGACATTAACATGTCTGTTAGTCTTGTGGAAGAGGGACTTGCTGAAGTAGTTACTTTCCCTGATTTTGGAGAACTAACAAGAACGCTTAAAGCAGCAGAAGAACGTGCCAAAACAAAGAAACTTAACGTAAGTAATCTCGTGGAGGTGTATTTAAAGGTGAAACCATAATTTGTAGATGATAATTATTGTTTTATATATTACAGATGTGGAAGAATTTTGTAGAAGTACAAGTTGAAAATGAGAAAAACGAAAACGAAAAAGAAGTCGTAGAAAGAAAAATTGATTACCAACAGGTAGTACTTTCTGAAGTTACTGAAGATCTTCATTTTTATGCACAAAGCTCTGATCAGCGTAGCAGATTGGAAACTTTACTTTTGCAATTGCGTCAAGAATTAGCATCTAATCCTCCTCTTCCGGGTGCATACAAGCCAACTAGAGGTGAATTAGCAGTGGCCAAATTTACTGGTGATGACCTGTGGTATCGCGTCAAAATAGAAAAAGTTTCTGGTCCAAATGTCAATGTATTTTATATTGATTATGGCAACAGAGAAACGATTAATGTTACAAGAGTTGCCGATTTACCATCAAGATTTGCTACTGATAAACCTTATGCTCACGAGCATACTCTCGCTTGCGTTGCAGCTCCAAATGATGTAAGTATTTCTATAAAAATTGTTAAATATCAACTGCTTTATCTTTTAAAAATCATAAACTTATATGCTGTGATTTTTTATTTATAAATATTTATAGAATGAAGACAAGAGGGTGGCAGTTGAAGCCTTTAAGGAAGACGCAATGGAAAAAGTTTTATTGATGAATACGGAATATAAATTAAACAACAATGTTACTGCTGTAACTTTGGTTGATACTTCTACTAATGAAGATATCGGGAAGGGTCTCATTTCTGATGGATTATTGCTTGTTCAGAACCAACGAGATAGGAGACTTACTAAATTGGTAAATTGATTTTTTTGTATTATACATTTACATACGCACATCAGTATTTTGATACACACGTAAAATAATTTTTCTGTATTAATTTATTATAGATCGAAGAATACAAGAAATCAGAAGAAGATGCAAAGCATAATCGACGTAATATTTGGAGATATGGTGACATACGCGCAGATGATGAAAAAGAATTTGGATTGTAAAGAAGTAAATGCTCAAGGACTGGTTAAAAAGTGATTAATACAGGGAAAAAGACATCATGTTATGAACTGCATAATAATTATGTAAGAACCCATCACATAGATTAACGAAAAATAATAAATGTCCATATGAGAGTTATATATTGCATTGATCGTAATGCAGTCATATTTCATCACATAAAAATATGAATTGTACATAACAATTTCATTAATTCTTGTAATTTTTGAATGGAGCAGTGGCATAATATATTGCATAATATATTGTCATCATTCATTATTTGTATCACAATGTAAAGTTTTGTTATCAATGAACTTTAAGAATACTATGTACTACTACTTTAAACTTCTCATGATCTATATGCAATTTATTTTTAATTATTTGTATTATGATTGAGAAAAATCATTTTTTACAAATTTATATTGCATTTAAGGTCATAATAAGAATTACATGAATGAATACCTATAATTGTACATTTTGTCAGACATACTCATTTAAGTATGTAAGAATCTATATCAAGAAAGTATACTATATTTTGATTAAAAATAGCATCAGTAGATCATTGTTCAAGTAGTTTGAATGTTAAACGTAATATACTCCGTGTACATACAAAAACCTTCGTCTGATGTTATCAAAAATTTTCTTTAACATTTCATTTACATCCATTTTATTTTTTACTTCTACCGCTTTATTTGTGAAATATTTTTATTTCTCTCAAATACAAATGCCTCATCAGATAAATATAATTTCATGTAAGATGCTATAACGGGAAACAAAAGAAAGATTGACATTCTTAGAAATAATTAATGCTGAAAAGAATAATTCCACCTAAAAAGAGTGATATAATTTACAGGAAATATATGTTGCTTGAAATATTTGTTCTTTTTTAGATATAAATTTATTAAGAATGAAAGGAACAGTGCAAGTTTATAATTAAAGTAAAAAGTTTCTAATGAATTTTGTATGAATATTTAATTTACATGATCATTCATTGTATAATGTAGAAACTACACATCCTACAATCAGAAATTTATGGATTTACTGGTGCAAATGAATTGGACTTATTGCTTGATCATTTCAGAAAGTAAGGTGAAGATATTATTGAAATGTATAATCAAGTAAAGGAAAAGTAGTTCTAAATTACTTATTGCCATCGTTTTACAACTTGTAAGGTCTATAGAAGTTTGTTCTTATACATATATTGGTAGTGTTATGTAATTTTCAGATTATGCTATATATTTCTGCTTTATGATATCAATGATGAAAAATGTGTTAAATATTTTTGAAAACATATTCATATACACTTACATAAAAAGCAAGTGAACAAAATTCATTTATGAGAAGTTAGATACATTTAATTTTCAAATAACTATATAGAATCATAATATTTTTAAAAACAGAGTTAAAAATGTTCAAAATATAAATGTAATATCACTTATATAATTTAGAGATTTGACTGATTTGTAATTACCTTATGGCAACACGTTATATGATGTGTAACTGCAAATAAACTGAAAATTTTTTATTTACATCACTATTTTTTTCTTTTCGAAAATATTTTTTGTACAGACAGGTTTTTGGTTGTAGTATTTCTGTTCTTCAAATATATTTGTTGTTTTAATTTAATGGTGAAATTACATAAACAGTTCTTATACTTAAATAACATTCTGTGATTAATATTTCACACAAAATGTAATATATTTGCATATTCTTCTGCTGTCTTATTTCAAAGAAATATAGGATGTAATTATATAACTACAAATGATTTGTAGAAATATAAATATGAACAATATAGAGAAACTAATTATATAGAATGGGAATGAAATAAAATAATCAATATATAAAATCCTATTTTTATGTATAAGCACACAAAGTTTAATATCAGCTAATAAATGAAACAATTTAAAGCATAGGGGTATTCATAAGTTAAATATCTTCAAAATCCATTGTATGTTTTAACGCTGTATTATCCCAAGAACAAGAATATAAATAATTATTAAACCATGTAAGGCCACGTACAAAGTCCGTATGGCGGTTATCTTTGTATATTGGTGAAAATTGACTGTTTATATCAAGAACTTCCACAGAAGTATTATCACAACAAACAGCTAATTCTTCCAACCTGTAATGTAACAATATTATGTAGACTTCTTATATTGAAAAGATTAATTTATATTTTTTATTTATCAGCTTATATTACTTTTCTGCATTTGGATTGAATAAGAGTTTGTGTACTGGTCTAGTAAATGCAGATAATTCCCGTAATACTTCTATATCTGACCTTCTAGCATCAACTATTACAACTTCCCCGTTATCTGTACCTATTGCTAAAAAATTTTCTATGTTGGGATTCCAACTTACTGCTGTTAAACCAACATCTCTCTTTAAAATACCTTAAAACAAAAATATAGGTTTAAGTTATATTAATAGCATTAATTGTATTTAAATGTTTATGTTACTGCTTCAATATATACTTTGGGCTGGCTTTATTTGTCTTATATCCCATAATAATGCTTCACAATCTGATGATGTTGATGCAAATTCTGTATTACTTTTAGGTTTAACATCAACACAAGTGACTGTATCAATATGAGCATAGTCAAATGACTGTGTTACCATTAACTCTGTTACATCCCATACTTTTATACTACAATGTAATTATAATTTTTTACTAAATGTTTTAAATGTCTTTCAATATGAAATATTTCCAGGGGCTTACCAACAATCCATTCCTCCTGAAACTACTTTTTTCTTATCAGCAAATGCAGAAAGAGTTAAAAGACTACTATCATGTAAACAGGCATATGCTGCACATTGTAATTCTTTTACTCCATCAGGTTCTGTAGATATATCAAAAATAGTCAAAGCTCCAGTATCTTCTCCAATTATAAATTTATCACTTTCCAAGTAAACAGCAGCACAAACACCACTTTCTGTTTTTTTAGCAACAAAAGCCTTTTCTCTATCAAAATCTGAAATATCATTATAATACCAAATAGTACCACTCCAATAACGATCTGTCATGTTACTACCTCCGAGAATAGCACTTTTTTCTGCAAATAAACAAATACGCAAATATTTATGTAATAAGAAACGCATATATGAAAAATATAAATTTGTTTACTCAAAATTAAAACGTTTAGAAATATATTTCAAAAATGATATAAAAAATTTAACGTATATTACCATCATAAATTAAAATAAACTGCAAATGTTTGTCAGGAACAAGCGGTCTATCTGCTGCTGTCATATTTCTATAAACATCTGCATTTAAATTCGGTTCTATCAGGGGTTCCATGATATATTAATACTCTAAAACTCAGACTTAGTTCAAATATGTTGCCGTAGTACAAGTTCAAAACGGACCATGTGCTCAACTGAAACAGGTATATAGGATACACTCCAGCAAACAAATAAACAAATTATCTGCATAGACAAGGCAATAAATAGATTCATCACTCTATGTACTTTTATGTCACATGGTTTTCGAAATGGTCAAGTCCATTACCATTTTTGTGTCATTTCCAACGTTATCGATTCAGTATGAAATAAGATTGCAACGTTACTAGTGGTAAGAATTAGAACTAAATATGCTAAGAGTTATTTGTTTCGAAAATGAAGTCTAAAAGGATACGAATCTTATTTTCATTTCTTAAATCTTATCACAAACGGAGTTTTGTACACCCTTCATGTTTAATTATTTCAAAATACTACTATTTGAGAAAAAAATAAAATAACGATTAATTCTTGGCGAACGTTACGATACAAAACAATTTTCGATTAATAGTGATTGGCATTAATTAAACAGAACTGGTTGTGTTTCGGTAATTAGGAAATACTTTCTACCGACAACTTCTTGAGACCCCTGTTCATATCGCGCGTCTTTTACCGGCATTTCAAATTTCCGGATATGCAGAAGTAGCGAATATGATTACCGCGGTAACGTCTGTCCGTGACGTAACGGCTGTACTCCTGATAATTTCCGTCGTGACGCATGCGTATTCGATTCGGAGCAAAAATCAGAATTAGTCCAACGGAATCCCGGAAAGTAGCGAGTGCGAGACACGGGCGGTGTCGCTGTGTAAAATCATAAGCAGCGCTGATTAACCTGTCAAGACGTGGTCTCGTATCGTTATTAACGCACTCAAAGGTGTTGCGGCGAACGTTTCGCGGCGGAAGGCAGAATGGTGAAGCCAGAACAAATTTTAATTATCGAACCGCGGGGTGAACTGCGATTCAGGGGTACGCTTAAACGACGAATCATTCTTTCATGCGCATTTTCCTTGCACGTTTTACCTATCTTCATTTCCCTTTGAATTTTTCTCGATCAGTGACTGGCAGCCGCTTTGTTGGTTAGTTATCACGAGCTGCACACGGTGCGCTACGTTGTCAAGATGACGTAAGGTTGATTCTTCTAGCCAATTTTATTGCATTTCGATCTGTCGCTAAATGTGATTACGTACGACGACTCAGTAGAAATCATCGGCCCTTTCGGTCGTACCTAATCTCATTCGCCGTACGTCATTCGCTGTCAAAACTAAGTACAGTCACGATTCAATTCTTGGCCTCCCTCCTCATCTCCCGTTTCCATTAGCTGATATACAGTCAGCATATTCGTCCACTAGTGTCGTATGCCTTTATTTTTCGTATACATGTCTAATTTATTTATTTGCTAATTTCCATGTCCTTTTAGCAAATAATATACCTTTCTTCTAAGCATCACATTTTAGTTGTAATTTAATGCGCAACGCTTGTTTGCATTTATCACGAATTTAATAATGTATAAATGTTTAAAAAAACATCGAGAAAAGAGTGCTTAGAGTGTAATCAATGTTTTTTGTTGAATGACATATCAAGAAATGTTACATTTTGACATTTATATGATGAGAATCTTGTAAATGAAATGTAGAAGTATAAACAAAGTATTGCAACTGTTACTTGTATAAACTTCTTATTTATATTAAATGATATTTAGAAACAGTAACTAATAGTATTTCAATATTTTAAACATGGTATTGTGAAGTAGAAAGTACTTCACATTGTTCATAATTATAACATTAATACTTGTACATACTTATTATTCATTATTCCTTCTATTTTATTTTGTTTGTTTTCAAAAGTATAAAGAAACTGTAAGATGGATATTGATTTGTACATATATTTTATGTCATACTTGCTTTTTATTTGAGATTTTATAAAGATGTAATAAAATTAACCATGTTTGAACATCTTTAAACATGATTTTCCTATTATTTTACAGGCCCATTCACAGAAATAGCAACCACATCACATATAAAATTAACTAATCCAACAAATCACTATATTTATTTCAAAGTAAAGACAACTGCTCCAAGGAGGTATTGTGTACGTCCTAATGCAGGATGTGTTCGACCAGGAACATCCATTCAAATAAGTGGTTAGTTTGAAATAATGACTCAAATGTACAATCTATGATTAATTTCTATAAGCTGTTAGTATGAATTTTTTAGGAAGTTCAAGTTGTTGCCATTTATAAACAAGAAAATTGAATTCACTAGTTATCATTGTGTTTTTCAGTGACTCTTCAACCAACTGATTATGATCCAGCAGAGAAAAATAAACATAAATTTATGGTTCAAGCTATAGTAAATGATAAAGCATGGGATAGTCTTCCTTTTGATGTGGTATGTAAGATTATCAAAATTTATGAACTTATTATTAACTAAAGATGTTTAATCCTACTGTGTTTCATACATGAATTTTTACTTACTATCTATCTTATATTAATCATAACTTTTAATTTTATTTCAAAGTGGGAAGGTACAGATCCAGAAGAGATAATGGAATCTAAATTAAAATGTGTATTTGAAAATCCTGTAACTAAAGCTACAACTGCTGAAACTGCTTTGACTGCAACAACGACTAAATCAGAAGCTAATGCAAGTGATGGCAAAACTAAAGCAATTGGTGATTCTTCAGTTAAGTCATCACCAAAGGTGGTAATTAGCAGCCAGCATTTACTTTTGTTACTTTTAATAATTGCTCATTGTACAGGGTGTTCCTGGTTTTCTTGATAAACTACAGGAACATAATCTATAAATGAAAATAAGAAGAAAATGTTATATGAAGTTTGGCGGTAAACGCTTTTTGCAAAGCTTTTCTACACAATGATTGAATGTCAACTGCTGCAGCTGATACTAACTGTCACTCACGTCGAATCATCTTAAGACACAAAACATCATGTAAATACAAATAAAATAAACACGGTCGATCTTTCATATTCTATAATGCAAAAATCCGATGCTATCTACATGTTATATTTCATACTGCGCTCAATATTTGTTTATAACTTTGTAACTAAGTATTTATAGCCAAACTTCATGTAACACTATCTTCTTATTTTCACTTGCAAATTATGCGCCTGCAGTTTGTCGGGAAGAACCGGAAACACCCTGTATAAGTAAATTATATGTTTATTTTATCAGGTACCTGGAGACACAGAGGACAAATTGATAAAAGCAGCACAAGAAGTTAATCAGCTTAGGGAAGAAGAAAGCGCTCTTAGGCAGGAAAACCTACAATTGAAGGTAAAGAATTGAAAATATTAGAAATTAGTATAATGTAAATAAAACAAAATTACCGATATTAACGGTATGATTTTACATACGAAATAGATAAATAGAGGACTAATTTTTATTTGTAGGAGGATTTGTTGAAATTACGAAATGTCATTATGGTTAACGAGGCCAGCTTAGCTAAAACACCAGCTACGAAACTTGCCTCACACAGCATTAGCGAACAATCAACAAATGTTATCAGCATCCTCGTTGCTGTTGTCATGGTCATACTAGGATTTGTGCTGGGAAAAATGATCTGAGCAACCATTACTATACCGCATAATTTGGCACATCCCCTCTTCCCCTGTGTTTCTTAGCCTGCCCCCCTGCTACCATATACCATGTACTGATCGCCAAAGGTCGAAACCAGTCATCGTATTACACGGTTGTTCATAATAAATACTATAAACATGAACGGGTAGTGGTTTACAATAATAGAGTTATTCGCTGCAGGAGTGTGCTTATATTTTGGTAAAGCGATCGAATTCGAAATCCTTTTTTAAGAAATAAAGTCTATGCTCAAATGGCACTGGAATGGCAGTGGAGTATAGGTGCAGAAAAATCCACGATAAATTTTATTATTGTTATACATCAGGAAGTATGTGTACTATTAGTTATAAATAGCAAATTATAAATAAAAATTAAATACTGTATATTGTCACGTTTGTATATCATTTCTATAGTCACATTTCTTATAAAAGGATTTTCGCTTTACAAATTTGCTTGCGGCTGTGTCTTTGCAACCATGTTGCCACTAACTAAACTATGTATGAAGTACGAAAATTTATGAAATACAATTCTTTTAAGCGAATATATTCGATTAGAGAAAAGGTGAATTCAATTGTTTCAAGAATCACGATGTGTATACATATGTATATACATATATACACAGATATAAAAGAGAAAGCAAGGGATTAAAATTTTTTTTTCTTTTTTTTTTTTTGACACTCTAACAGTATTTAACAATTCCACGATGTAATTTAAGGAGTTAATGCATTAAAATTTTTTGACGCTTCATTGTATTTTTATTTCTTTATGTTTGTCTTACAAAAATTCTAAATAAAGATATCTCGGATGTCATATGACGAAAGTTTTATATTTTGAACCTTTCTGCTGATAATCGAGTTTGAAAAATCTGAAGTGGTGCATGGTATACATGGATATGGTATCGCTAAAATATTTCGCTGCAATGGAGTCATACAAATTTATCTATATATACATATAGACATATACATATATAGCGGCAAACAATTTGTAGACCGTCACCTCACGAATATTATCGAGCACATCGCAGTTATTACGTATACATATACATATACATATATACATTCATTATGTATACATGTATATATATGTATATATGTAGATATATGTATATTATTAATATGAAATTCGTATATCTGTACCCTAGAGATAGAAGCAGCAGTATAACTCATTTGTGCTTCATCAACATTCTATTGCTTTAATATCTCCTCATTCTATATGCCTTTTCTGGGCCTCTTCGATAACAAATATTAGTTCATTAACTGTAGCATACAAGTGTAAACTATTACTGAACTGTCACGTGTAAAGATGTAAACATTTATCGCTTACTCTCATTACGTTGTTTATTATTTCGAACACACACACACATATATATATACACACACACACATATATATACACATATATACATGTATGTACACGTATGGTACATTGTTTTATATCTCTCGTTTAACATATTTCATCATTTTTCGAGTTTCTCATCGAGATGTTTCGAATTCCACGTCGAAGTTTTCTCGATTTCGCAGATATTTCAAATGAATGTTTAATTAGTTATCGGTAAAATGATGATATGCGTACAGTATTGTGCAAGTCAACAGTTGCATAACGCATCACGTGTTTCCCGGTTAAAATAATCGAAGCATTTCATCCTTTTACATATCTCTCTACTGTATCCACGTGTTTGTAAAATAATTAACGAACAATTGTCCAGTGTTGTATGCTTAAGGAGTAGGCATAAGTTGCTTTTCTCGTGTGAAGACACGGGGCACGTAAGAAAATGGTTTGAGAATTCTTCGCTGACCGGATATACTAACTACGTTGTAAACAACTTCCTATGTTCCTGTTGAAAGTTTCTTATTGAAATGATAAATATATATACACACATATGATCGCGCCCACTCATGTACTAGCACAAAATTATTTCGTCCAAGGAAGGTGAAGGAAAACAAGAGAAAAAAGGCTCTGATCAAATTTTTCTGCACACGGTTGCCTGCATTTATCGCTTGAATTCTTGACCCATTGTGGAGTGTCTCGATGTT